CTGTATAATAATAATAATAATTAGATATATTAGTGGAGAGATATTAAAAAATAAGTGGCCACATACATTAGCTCCCTAAACAAATTTTTTTTATAGTTTTGATAGTTTTTCTAAAATTATAAAAGGCTTATGTCCTGTGCCTATTATTGGAAACTCACACTTAAATGAAAAAAAAGCCAATTTATCAGCCTGACATATCAACACACTGATCCTGTACAAAGTGAAATAAAATGAACTTTACTACACATGCTAACATCAAGTTTCACTTTTTTGGGAAACAGAACATTATTGGGATTGCAACATCAATTGCCGCTGTGTTCTTGTATTGCATAAATGCTAATGTTTCCAAATGACTAGATAATTACAAGAAAAAGCGACACTGACAGATGGCAAGCTAAAGACTTAAAGCTTCTACCGTCAAAGTGATTTCTTCAATTTGTGTAATCACGATGTATAACAGGTCTACCTAGCAAGACGTAATGATTCAAGTATATTGAAATTATTTATTTTACATAGAATATATAATTTAAATGTAAAATAAAAATAACCCCCATCCATCAAAGCAAAATCTAAAATTAGTTGAGCCATATTTTCTGCTGTATAGTGTAGTGTTTGTGTTTCCTTCTGCAAGTACCAGTTCTACACTTAATATATAGCTGACATGGAGTGGGCACATTTAAATAAAAAAAAAAAATAATTCCAGCTAACCGACGGCATTTTGGCTCACGCCGAGACTACTTGTCAAAATCTTGCCTGCTGAACTTTCCAATCACCCTTCATATAAAGGTCAGAGAAATGACATGTGATTATTTGCCCATTCTTATTTAAACCACCACCCTGCCAGAACCCGCCATGACCTTTGGCCAACATAAGAGTGTGGTACATGTAAAGATTGTTTGCCTTTGCATTGGGAAAAAGAACAATCTTCTTATCATCTTAAATACTGCTGTAATCTTTGGCATTGCGTGCACTTAGCATGACATGTATATCCCCCATAATGGCAGATATAGTGCTCTGTGCTAATTACAATGTCAGAATACAATAACATTGTCGTGTAAAGATACATGAGACAAACATGTTGCTTTTCAGACTTAAAGTGAACCTATCATTAAAATTTACACTTCACATGAATCAAGAGGAAACCTGTCAGTATAACCAAAGCACATTATTATTTTCAGTAAAATTGCTCACTATGAATTAAAACAATTGCTGCTCTGCAACCCCCAGCATAGAAAACCTAGATCACATGGACTCTGCCAGAAAAATTTTAGAGACTGCAGAGTGTAGTGTTGCTCACTGAAGTAGGGTATACTTGGTTAGAATTTAGAACCAATTAAATTAATTTCGGAATGCTCTTTCGACTTTCTAATCATTGATGGGGTGAAATCGATGATCAATTTTGAGTACAGTTCCGGAAAAATTTGAAGGAGCATGTTGGAAAATTGTCGATTCAACAAAATTCTAACAGTGAATGTGGTTTTCATTCGGGGAAACTCCATTCATTCCAAAATCAAATGCTACATCAAAACAAAAATCGAATGACATTTCAAACGGCATTCACCAAGTCTTAACGATGTTTTATAGATGAACACAAATCTACCTGTGCCTACCCTACTTTAGACAGACCCTGTCTTGTAAGTGAGATAGGAGGATCAGCAAGGCACAAAGAAAGGAAGTATGTCTACCATGTACATAGGTAATTACAAAGAGCACACGGGAAGAAATGTTGATACAATCATTTAAATTAAATAGATCTATTACATATGTATAACCTCAGTTCTCCTTTAGACTTTAAAACCTAAAACTGTCATTTCTTTTTTTTATTATTATTATGATTTATTCCCAACTTTGCCTTTAGATATTTGAGAGGAAGGTTAGTAAGGGCTATAGTGATCTATTTTGTAAACAGTGCAAGACTTTTATTCTTTGACTCAACTAAAAATAAATCACAAATTATTCATGTATAAGCTACCCATAGATACAAGTTGACAGTTGCACGACCCAAACAATTTGGATTGGATTGGTTGACAACCATGTTAGCTGGTCAGACAGACACATGCCAGCTGACTTATTTCAGGGTAACATTGATTGAACCAGTTAGAAAGCTTTTTGAAACTGCAGAGCTAAGTGTCCATGCGCCATGAGACATGAGTTCTGGAGGCCATGCACTGAAAACAGCCTTTACTGTTCATTGACACCCTTAAATTATAGGGGTTTCTATGTAATTCTAGTGATTTTATACATTTTGAAAGCCAGACTAATGAAAGTGTTTTAGTTTCTTTAAATGTTATATTTTACCTCATGCTTATTCAGTAATTTTAACTGTACACATTTCTGAATTTATTAATGATTTTACAGGTAAATGTAGATCACTATTAAATTTACTAGATTAGCAAATTGAACTTTAAGGGATAATGTGAACCTTTTTTTTCTTCATTTTTACATATAAATTTGTTAAATATAAATAAAGCTACACTTTTGCAACCTAGGTATTTCCTTCACCATTTATTGCCAGTCTGACGTTTTCACAATAAATTTAGATTTTATGTATATGCGAGTAATGATATGTATTTTACAGTGACAAGGGGAAGCATGTTTTACCTTCTTTAAATAACCTACAATAATTTAGGTAACGTGGTGATTAGGGCAATTCAGTTGAGAAGACTCAGTGCAAATAAGCCAACTCAGAGTGACATGAATGGCCCTTGGTAACCTACTATAATGATTTGAACCACTTTTGAAATCTATGGTAAATTATAACACATTAATGAGAAGCTGGGTGAAACTGATGTCTAATAAAATGTTTGTACTTAATGGGGACATTCTAAAAATCTAAACTGTACAATGAATTTGTCATTTGGCATTTTTTTCACTAGCTCTTAGTTTGCAAATCTTAAAGCAAACTGATAATTTTGCCTATTCAGAGAAACACAACTTGTTTTACTGACATCTCCAGCAGTATGCATTGAGGGGAATTTATCAAAACTGGAGCCGACAAAATCTGGAGCAGCTGCCCATGGCAATTGATCAACTTCTCTCTTTAATTTTCAAATCTTAACAAAACAAACCGAAGAGAGAAGCTGATTGGTTACCATGGGCAACTGCTCTAGATTTTGTCTGCTCCAGTTTTTATAAATTCCCCTCATTATACTTACCTTACCTTCACTCCCCTGCCACTCTGTTCAGTGCCAGCAGTCAAAGGAACTACCTGGTGCTTCCAGATATAGAGAAACACGTGATAACAGCACTGGGCCAATCAGTCTACTTGGATGACTTTTAGCTCTTCATGGCTTTTTATTTTACTCCCAGTTGCTGACCAATGCAGTGTGGGAGCTAGACAAAGGTAAGTATATGTGCCTGCATTAAAGTAAATCTGTTGCTTGTCCCTTTGTGGGCAAAGCACAGATTCACATTAAATAAGAACTCTCTGTGAAAATGATCCTAACCCTTGTAGTGACGTATACCCCGCACTTAAGTGCTCCTTTTCGCGCAGTCAACTGACCGTTCTTACTAATGATAAGTGCTTCTTGCTTCACAGTCTAAATCAAAAATAAAATTCAGCTTCACTGATTTCATTGACAGAAACCAAAATGCAACAATGGCAGCAGCATGGGAAAAGGGATGTCAAAATAGCTTCTAGCCCTGTAAAATTGTTTTTCTTGTGTAAGGATTAATTTATCTAAGATGAGTTTGGTCACAGTGCCTAGAAAAAGAGTAAGCAGAAAACACATTTATTTCAGTGTAATAAATTCCCTCTAATTAGACTCTAGACTAGAGTAAATGTGCAACACTATTAACTATAACTTTAACAGCCTTGGTTTTATTGTTTGTTTTACATAGTTTTATGTATCTCATTTTGTAATTTGCTTTATGTTCACCTATTATGAATCTGCCAATTGTGATATAACTACACTTTACCTGAAAATGTATGAAGCATATTAAAATGTACTTATATCTATATACATTTTTGTGTCTTTTCCAGGCAGGTCCTAAAACATGGACAAAGGATCTGATCTGAGATGTCAGATACGACCGTGGCTGAGAAGTGCAGGAGAGCCTTACCCACCTGTAAAAGGTTTTTACCTTTTATTTAAATAACAGTGAATTTTAAGTAATAACCCTTTTGCAGCCAGAGACACATTTTTTGCACACATGTTAAAATGCACATTTTAGGCCTGAAAATTCTCAAAGCAGAGAGCTGTAGAATAAAATAGGGTCATTTAAAAAAAAAAACATTTTAAACACATTATAATACCTACTTTTTTGGGTAAAATATTAAAGATGAGGTTGTGCTGACTAAATAGATACCAAACATGTCAAGCCTCAAAAATGCCTGCACCTGTGAAATGCCACACAACTTTGGTATTCCAAATTGGGAAGTTTTAAAAGCCTATACAGGTCACCAAGTTAGAGATAACTCTGAATCATGGCCCTAGAACTATTTATCTCACTCTGTCATGCATGGGGATACCCAACATGTGTGACACAATCATCATTTTCATATGGAGGCACACCTGACACATATGTACTGTATAGGTTTGTAGGTGCATGGGGAGGGGCTTTACATTTTTGGGGGTGTTTTTTATTTTATTTAAGTTACATTTTTTAAACTTTTTTTGTTAACTTTATTGCTATCACATAGGGGTTGATAGGTCTATGTAAGAGGATATTGCTGGTGACAGGTCCTCCTTAAGGAGACATCAGGGGTCTATTAGACCCCCAATATTACCTTGAACCTGAATGAAGCTGATCGAGCAGATATTGTGCTTGATCAGCTTCCTCCACAGCCACAGCGACCTGGGAATGACAGCTCAGAAACTGCAAGTGACAAAATCCTTGTCGCTTCCAGGTCCGTTCACCATAAGCGAAATCAGCAATCTCCCCACTAACCAGCTGCAGGAGGGGCAGTGGAGCCCAGGATACATGGCAGGGAAGAGGGGGTAGGGGGGAAAGGGGACTGTGTAGAAGGGGGCTTTTATGTGAAAGCTGACAGTTGGTTTAGAAAGTGTAAACAGACTCCCAGCTGCTTAAGCAGCCAGGAGACCGATCACAGCAGGGAAGGAGTTCATTTTTCTTATTTCTGTTTATTATTAATTTTTTGCAAGTAACTAAAGTTTCATCTCCTAAATAGAAATCCAGAACACAACATTTATAAGAAACTGGGTACATTCAGTGTCATATTAAAAGAGGAACTTAAAGCAAATAGTTAACTCTGATGTGGTGTATGCCACCACCAGGACCACTTCTCTATGTTTATTTTTTACTGTTTCATTGATGTGCGATATTATAGCTTTCATTATACTTCCAGATGTGCAATAGGAGACTTGCAGCTCTCATACACTGAAGCTGTACTGTCATTTATCCACCCTTCCAATCTTCTTGCCCATTCACAGCAAAAATTGTATTTTGTGAACCATTTACAAAATGCAAAGTGTTCAGTGAATGGACAGGATATTCCTGGAGTTGGACTTTTGCCATAATATGCAAAGCTGCATCATCTTTCTTTTCTTTAGTACATTATACTGCTAAACTTCCATCCATGGCCATTGTGATTATGTTGTCCTAGACCCCTACTTGCAGCCACCCCTGCTACTACAACATAAAATCGCAACATATAAATCACCAATATCTTCTAGAATGATATATGGTTTACTACCTCACCTAAATCTGTTTAGTCTACCCCTAACCTCTAAATGTGTTACATACACTTATATAGGACTTTATTGCCCTTCTTTCTCTACACTTCTCCCATATACAGATACCATATCCCAAACCCTGCCCCTTTTGTCCTCCCACAGTGAATATCTGTGAGTATTTCCACCTGCCATCAATATTGATATTTATGGGTCAAATTGCAATAAATCAGATGGGAAATATGTCTATTAATTTAACTAAAGTCTGCTCTACTTCCTAAACTGTACCCCTTTCATCCCCCACCTATAGACCTGCTTTTCCTTTACAGTGTGCTTGGTTACATTTTACTGGGCATTTTGGCGTAGACAAAACATCACTACGTGTGAATGCCTGAATATCATGTCATGTCAAGCCTACATTAAAAAGTGCATTCTAAAGGAAGAATGGGTCAGTGGATTGAAATGAAAGTTCTTTGCTTTGTATTGTACATCATTAAATAATGTGCATTATACACCGAAAAGCTATGACAGTATGCTGACATCTCCTACATGCTGCAAATCTAAAGTTAACTATACAATAACATTGTACAATCAGCAAATATTCCTAAGATTTACCAAGAACTATGTAGTATGAGGGCACCCACAAACAAATCATTTTGTATCTATATAGAATCTCACAATTACCACTGCATTTATTAATAAAACACCAAGCCAAAATGTATTTTAAATAAGCAAGTTTAAAATATAAAAACACATAGCGAATACAAATCAGTTTTCTGTTGCTGGCTTTGTTGTAAATGTATTTTTTTTTCCCTTGCGATGTCGCTCTTTTATCATCCTGTTGTCATTAGTTTTTCCTACTACGATTGAACATGATTTTTCCCTGGCTATGCCCCCACCTGTCCTCTTTACCACAGCAGGAGCAGGAGCAGGAGATAATTTCACAGATCCTCAGTATAAGCTGCAAAATAGCATTACACATTAATGCTGGAAGATATGTATTATATTTTCTTTCTGAACACCTCCTGTAATGCAGAGAAATAAGGCTTTCTGTCAAATTTATCTTAAGGTCAGATTATACCGATAGGAGATGTAAAAGTCAATGTTCTGTTAGTGCTCATAGACTCAAACAGCAAAGAGAAGACATTTCTTTCTTCTGCCAATAATAAATGTTATTTAAACTGATTCTATCTTCCAGGCTAGCCATGTGTAAGAAGAGGAAAGAGGTATTACAACATCCTGGCGTCAAGGTTTCTGCACATAATGAATCTTTTCTTGGGAAAAAAGTACGCAGGTTCAGGATAAGCACCATCTAATGCCTGAAAATACTTTACCATTCTCCATGAGAAAGATGAATTTTACAAATTGCACAGCAGAAACAATTGCAAATAAATCTAAAACTGTCACGGACAAAATGTTGATTTCCATAGCATTGGCTGTAATAACTACTCTGACCACGCTGTTAAATTCCGCTGTCATTATTGCCATATGCACAACCAAGAAATTACACCAACCTGCCAACTATTTGATATGTTCCCTGGCGTTTACAGATTTCCTGGTTGCCATTTTGGTAATGCCTTTAAGCATTGCCTACATTGTTATGGATACCTGGACTCTTGGTTATGTGATCTGTGAAATATGGCTTAGTGTGGATATGACTTGCTGTACTTGTTCGATCCTTCATTTATGTGTGATTGCCCTTGATCGATACTGGGCCATAACCGATGCGATTGAATATGCCAGGAAACGTACAGTTAAACGGGCTGCTGTGATGATCCTAACAGTATGGGCCATTTCAGTCTTCATTTCAATTCCACCTTTATTCTGGAGAAACCATCATGGTATAAGTACCCCCAGCCAATGTATTATTCAGCATGATCATGTGATCTATACAATATACTCCACACTTGGGGCATTTTATATCCCTTTGACTTTAATACTTATTTTGTACTATAGAATATACCATGCTGCAAAAAGCCTTTACCAAAAAAGAGGATCGAGCCGCCATTTAAGCAACAGAAGCAATGACAGCCAAAACTCTTTTACCCATTGCAAGCTCACGCAGACATTCTGTGTGTCAGAATTTTCCACATCGGATCCCACCATAGAGTTTGAGAAGATGACTGCATGCGTGAGGACTCTGCCATATGACAACGACACTGACCTGACAGGGGATCGACAGCAACAGATCTCTAGCTCAAGAGAAAGAAAAGCAGCTCGTATCCTGGGACTTATTTTAGGTGCTTTTATGTTGAGCTGGTTGCCATTTTTCATCAAAGAGCTTGTTGTTGGACTTAGCCTTTGCACCGTATCCCCTGAAGTGGCTGATTTTCTGACCTGGTTAGGTTACGTGAATTCACTAATCAATCCACTTATTTACACTAGCTTCAATGATGATTTTAAGATAGCCTTTAAAAAACTTATCAGATGCAAAGAGCATTCATAAAGAACACAAGCAGGGCAGCTAACTGTCTTATAGGCCTTAAAGGTGAGAAAATACCACATGATACAAGAATGTCTTTTGAATCATGTCAGGTTAGGACTATGTTTTTTAAAATATCTTGGCTTGGTGTCTACTCTTTTCTTTTACGTCTTGTCATGTAATGCCGTCTTCTACCTCTGTTTTTAAAAGAAAAAAAAATCAGACATCAATTTTATAATACATAGTAACATATTACCAGTAGAAATGTTAAGGGACTGTTACTATTACCAAATTTTAATGTGTGATTTAAGAAAACAGAAACATTGTGCATTTCCCTTTGTATGAGTGCTGAATGTTCATATGAGCTTATAAAGCGTTTACATTTCTGTACAAACAAACTTGCAAAGAGTCCAAATGTGCTTATTTTTACAAAATGCATGGAAAACAGGCAGTGGGGCTGATTTACTAAAGCAGTAGAGAATGTTAAAGCAGGATGGAAAATGTTCTTAACCCTTGCAGTGGGGCTACAGACTGCAAGGGTTAAGTGCTTGTTGTTGTTCATGTTCAAAAATAACAAAGTTATACTTACAATCCTCAGACCTGGCTTGCTCTTAGGCCCCGTTCACACCAGGGTGTTTTGTCGCGTGTTTTTTTTCCACGCTGAAACGCATGCAAATCAAAATCCCATGTATTCCTATAGGGGCCATTCACGCAAATGCACTAAATCACACGTAAAAATATGCCCATTGTTTAAAAAAGTAATTGAGCTTCTTTTGTGGCGCTTATCAGCTCATTTTTCTCCATAGCTGGTTATTGCATTAATGCGTTTTGTTTGTGCTTTTTTTAGCACGTTTTTGCAGTTGAGAATGCTTTTCATTGGACAACACGCCTTAAAACGCTCTTACATATGAACAGAAAATGCCTGTAAAAGTGCTAAAACGCACATAAAAACACGCAAAAAAACACTAACAAAACACACCACGCCCTGGTGTGAATAGGGTCTAAAACCGGTCCCTTCTGCATGTCTCCTCTTCTGCTGCAGCGATGATATATCCCTTGGAATCCTCGTGTCCTATACACTGTGTATAGAACATGATGACTCACTGGATCTTATACCGCTACAGCAGAGTGGGAGCGAGGCGGTAGGGACCAGTCTAAAAGCAAGCCGGCTCTAGTGGGTGAGTATATTGAACCTGGGTAAAAAGGGGGGGGGGGTAACCCCACTGCAAGGGTTAAGAAAATGTTCCCCCCCAGGAGTTCTGCTTTAACTTATCAAACTGAATCTTTGCTTAGAAAATATGGTGAAGCTACAGTATGTTCATTTTGAATACACAATTATGTGCAAGGGAAATAAAATAAAAAAATATGATTCATATGGTTGAATGATTGAAAAGCTTCCCCTTATTTACTAGCTAAATACACTTTGCTAAGTGAACATTTTCTATTCCTGTATTAAAGAAATCCAATTAAATAAAGGATTCATTTATATGTTTAACATTAAATTATTTGACTTAATTTTAAGATAATTAAATGAATTGAATTTAATAACACCATGTAGATTTTAGCAGAAAATATTTTTATCTCATTGCTACCAGGTCTTTTTAAATCCACAGGGCAAACGACAGTGCCTTGCAGACAGCTAAAGAAAAGGACTGATGTAAAATCAGACATAGCAAAACACCCTCAAAACAAATATTTCTTTCTGCTTTCTTTAAAGCTTTCTATTCCAGAAAACAAAATAGTTCTCCTGTAAGAGGAGATCATTAAAGGATTACAAGCGAAGTCACTCTTCCATTGCAAGATAACAGCATTATACAGCATTTCCAATAAGACATCTAGGCTTTGCTATGATTTATTATAAAATGCTTGGTGCCATCATACTGCTCATGGCAAATGTCACAGTGTCCTCTTCTAAACAGCAGCTGTGGTGATGCCTATAAACCCACAGGCTAAATAAATACATCATGCAGAAAATAAATCAGCAAATTGCTTGCTATTTTTAAACCTGGTTCTGCACATGGAAGTTTTAGTAGATAATCAATATGAATTTTGTCAAACTGAGAGGACTACAGCGTGACAAAAATAAATAATATCCTCTGGACAGTGTAAGAAGAATTTGTGGTAAAGCTGTTGAACGCTCCTAGCATACAGTCTATCTTTAAACTATGGCTAAAAGGAACAAAATCTACAACTGCATTCTAATAATGCTGGTTCTGTATAGAGGAAGAAAAACTACCAAAGCAGAACAATGAACCAAATATTATAATGCCATGTACAGATGGCATTAAAGACAGCAGTTCTTAGTAAGACAAAGTATAATGGGAATTGGCATTTTATGAAACAGTGGTTTAAATTTAAATGATTTATTTGCATATGCATTGTTGTACATCTTTGCACGCGTATATGTGCTTATATTAATTATGCGCATTTTTATGAGCAGATTGTGATACACTGAAGTCATTGGACAAAACGTGCACGTACATGCGTAAAAAACGTGCAAAGCTAATTGCAATGTGCGTATATGGGATCTGCCAAAAATAAGTTTATGTACTTTTTCCGGTGACAGGCGTTCTGCTTATTGCAACAAAATGCTTAGGTGTGAATCCGCTGTGACAATACGCTCAGTGTGAACCAGGCCTGAAGTGCCACTAAGTATGATTTCTAAACAAATACCAAATCCAGTTACTGTGTGATACAGGCATCATCAAGTGAACAAAACTTATTTTACCTTTCCTGACTGAACCAAATTCTCCTTTATTTGTGTCTCACATGCACCGTCTCCCAGACACTGCAGCTCCTAGTGGAAGGGTTTCAGCAACAGAGGCAGTCCTGTCAATCCAGAAAGCAGGACTAGGTGTGGCCAGATGCTGATTAACAAGCTGCAGGCTTGTGAATCAGCTGTGATAATGCCTCCTGCAATATCTTCTCAATCCCAATAGAGTATATATAGCCCAACCAAGCAGGTGCAGGCAACAGGACAGTGGTAAATCTGCTCTGAATTCAGGAGCAATGCCTCATAGATGCCACACCATCACAGGAAGCAGCATTAGCTGAACTGCACTGGTGGGATCAATGGGTACTTGTGGGACTTTGTAAGAGGAGTAAGAGCAAATGAATATTTTTAAGTGCTGCAGCACATTTTTTTTTTTTATGTGAGGCCATACTTCTACTTTAACATAGAACCAATATTACATTCTGAAAAAAAAGTTTGCAGTTAACCCTTTACTACTTCTTTATATAGTGGCATAAAATGAATTTTATTCTCATGATGGTCAATCAACAGACTGCACATGTACCGGTGTACTTGAAACATAATCCTGCATCTGTGAATCTCAGAGACTGTATTGTTCGGCCATTTTGAAGAAAAAAAGCACACATACCCTACTTTTGCAGGCCTACCACTTCTATGTCCTGCAGGACCTGCTTGCTCCCTACTAGCACATCTGCCTCTCATTTCAGACCTGCCTCTCATTGAAATTTATTTCTCATCTTTGGATAGTGCAAATCGTTTCTTTATGCTCGTGTGGCCAAATATACATCCAGAACTGCTGATTTCTAGAATGGATATCAGCCTAATATTATTAAGCCATTTATGCAAAATGCATGCAGCTGTCTCAGAAATCAAGGAAGCACGGCACTCAGAGGTTTAAACTATTCTTATTATAAAAGATTAAAAGTGTTTAGATACATATGCAAATCAAAGCAGCAGTCATCACAATAAACAACAACAAGAGGAACTGGATATATACAGACCTTGAACTAATTTTACGTATTGACTAACTGTAGACATTGACTACAAGGCATTTGAAAAATCAAAAACATACCTCTTCTAGCTTGAGACTCCTCTATTCAGAATACACAACCAGGTTTTCAAAATGCAATCCAGGGACACCCTACTGACCATGTTCACTTTTAACCACACACAAAAAAATCACACCCCCATTATGAATCAATATTTAAAAAGTATAATTAATATGTACGGTATATGTTAATAATACCCACAAGGGGAATATGCCTGGCTTTACCATAAAGTGCCACAAAATGTGAGTCTGACTAGGATTATGAAAGACCTGGGGCACCATGGGATAGGAACCAGAAACATGTTCTGTGGTGTGCAAGTGGAAAATGGGTGTGGCAAAAGTCAAAACAGAGCATCAGTAAATCACTGTTCATCATTATTAGATTACAGTTCTGGAACTGCTGAATATTGACTAGATGGGGATTGAAACATGGAGAACACACAAGGTAAGTGCATACCTTTCCTCAGTGTCTCCTGACACACCACCAATTCTGTACCACATACATGCATTGGTAGGGGAAGACCATTATTTAATGCACCAATCTAAATGGAAGCCTCAAAATTAAATCAACAGAAGCCCCCACAAAAAGGGAAAAAAGAACCTGTATTTTGGGCAGATTTTTTGTAAGGCTGGAATATGTGTTCCATGTCTGCTGCAGCATGCTTGTCACTGGCATTCGTCCCTGCATGTTGTGGCACTGACATTTTACTGGTGGTATAATATTAATTTTGTGAAAATTCTGGGCTAGGGACAAGGGGGTCGGGTTCAGTCTCAGACATACCACAGATTTAAGGGCCTATTCACATGTGTGTACGCTGGTGTGTTTGTGTAGATGTGGTGTAAGGCAAGGCAATGCGATGCTTTGTTAAAATGCATTGCACTGTTTTTTTGTTTTGTTTTTTTTTTGACATGTCATAGAATGAAACTTCGTTTAACTCTATGTATTGCAGCATGTTGTTTTTTTTTTAAAATAATGGTTTTAAATAATGGTCCGCTCTGGGATGCAGAGAGCAGTACCCATGCCACTTTGTACCACCATTCTCTGCATCATTTAGGACCACCCACTACTAGCACAGGAAGAACAAGACCCCAGAACATCATGTGACAGGCCTAAAATAGGCTATAAAAAAGGTAATCGTGCAATTTAAAAAAAAATGAATGTGAGGGAGGAGTTTCTCCAGTGGGGCAAAGTTTGCCTAATCTATTGTTCAGCTTTAATTGGTCGTAAGTATGTTGATAATTAGACCACTCATTCAAACACAAAGGCAAAGCATCTGACCATTTTTCCATCACTTCGGTCAAACACCAGCATGATTCTGGATTTATCCCCTTCTCCTCATTTTCATAACATAAGGATGGGGTATTCTGAAGTTCACAAAATAGAACTAGTGGGAGATGATAGCTATGTTTGAGATTTCAGTTCAGTGCACAGGAAGTTACAAGTAGATGGAATTATGCCAAGATCAACTGGTATTATTGCGCACTTGCAGAAAATGTACAAGCTTGAAGAAGGAAAATGAACATAACCACATCTAAGGACTGGTAAGCTGCAATATATTACTTTTTTGTTTATGTTCAAATATTCCTTAATAGATAACACAATGTCCCCAAACAATGGCTTTAGAGTCACTTGTGGCTCTCAGCTACATTCAGTATGGCTTCCAATAGATTTTCTGCCGTTGCTTGGAACCAATGTGTCTTAAGTCTTGTTTAGGTGTAAACATCACATACATGAGCAATTTAAAGGTAGACTGAAGCCAGACGTATTTGCACCTCAAGGAGCTATGAATATAAGGCAAAGCCAATGGCTCACGATAACATGGAGTAAGGTGGCATACAGCCACCTAACATGAAGTGGGACCAGATCAACCTTTCAGAGCAATGGGAAAGTTTAAAGTGTATTCCTATCCTATTGTGTTATTTTGGATGGAGTAAAAGATGGTTAGAGCCCCTCTCAGGTGTTATTACTGTCTGTTTTCTTGCTGGGGAAAGTCATCCTCACAATTTGTCCTGGTTACCATTGGCAAGAAAGTGATTCAAAACATTATGGTTGTCATTAGAATAGACATTGAGAGAAAAGTCTTTTAAATGGGACACCTGTTCTGATGACAACTTGGTAAAAGGACATTTCCACTCACTTTGGACTGATTTCCACTCACTACCTGCTGTGTTTCTGGGAAAGGAAGTAAAATGAAATCTCCCCAATGGAACAGACAGCATACAAAAACCTGACAGAGGTTATAATCCTTCCCTATTCTACCTTAAACAAAGAAAAAATGGCTAGAGATACATTTTATAGAACACCACCTACCACCATACCACCTTTATTAAACAAGAAGATACATTTTTTGCCATTCTGGGCTGGAGAGAAAGGCAGGAACATTTACAACACGTAAGGAGAAATGTCTGCAGGGGAAAGCAAACAGCTAGAGCTTAGTAAATTAACTGATATATTTATTGCGTGACTGCAAAATTAAACTCAAATGCAGTTGCACTGCAAGCCATACTTTTTTAACGTAGTGGTGTGAACTGTCACCATCCATTACAAGGCAAACTGCCTTGTCTTGCATTCAGGCTGTGCTAGAAAAAAACAGCCAGCGCAGACATGGTGTGAACAAGCCCTTGTGAACAATTCACATAAAACATGAAATATCCGAAAGCTCACACAGCTAACAACCCTCAACTGTTGACAATGAAAATTATTATCCTAAATGGCTAACCAAAGTGTTTATGCCTTCCAACAATTTTGGAATATTGATGATGAGTAAGTTGTTATAACCATATGTGAGCATTAGGGTGTGCACACCAAAGTACAAACACACACTTGTATATATATATATATATATA